CCTCCCTACTCTATACCTTTTCTATTTTTACCTCACTTTTTGTACTTCATCAAGCTTCATCTACACAGCAGATACTAATTTAAACAAACAAACATTATACACCTACATTAATTCAAGCGGATTTCACAAATTCACAATTTCGCTTCTACATATACATAAATTATACCTACTGCCAGTTTTCACTGCAAACAGCGACTGTATATGAATCTTGTATGTCAACAGCATTCAGTATATAAACAATGTACTGTTCTAACAAGATTTGTTAGGGGTGTAAACATTCAGTGTATGGGATAATGCATGTTCATAATTCCTTTAACGCTTAGTGTCAACCCTTACATTGTATTTATCTCTTCCTCTAACATATGGATCATATTATTTATTTGTATTGTGTAGTAGAATGTTGGTCTTAATTTTGGATAAGTATAGTTATATCCGGGAAATATAAAAGGGTCTATTCTTCTGATTTCTGAACGAGGAAAGAATATACATATAGTGCCTTTTTTTAAATAAGAATCGTTATCTGTCGATTTGATAAAAAACAGTGGTACCTAATATGTAAATTAAAAATAAAGGTTTCCTCTATTCATGATGATGACGAAATAACTTAAATTATACGCATTAATTTATCGTTTCAATCAATTGAGTTTTAAATTCGATTCATTTTTCCTCACAAACTGGACTATAAATATGTGTATGTTTCTTAAAATAAAACCACAAAGACATTAATAGTTTTATTATACTTACCTAAGATATATTTATGAAGTGATCTAATTGATCAAAATAGTAAACCAATTATTAGAATTAAATATGACTCCGATTATTATGCTAAAGAATACTTATAAATAAACTGTTCCTTATAAGTTCTTATATGCTGATTTTAAACTCTGCAATGTATTTATATTGCTAGACACAAATATTATACCAAAAACGGACTTTGTTGTGACGTGAAACAAGTACAAACAAACACACTTTTACATTTAAATCAATAGTAAGTGTAAGGCAGTGCTGGATTTATAAATAGGCCGTATAGGCCGCGGCCTAGGGGCGGCAGCGTCTTAGGGGGGCGGCAGATTTTAGAGGACGGTCACTCGATTTCAGACTATAAAAGTAAAACACGTTCACTGATTTTATCATGTTTTTCATAGGTACTTAAAGAAATCCCTATAAAAACTCATTCGTATCGAAACCTAGTGAGTGAAAGATGAGAACAATGCGGCTCTCGTCAATTTTGAGAAATCAATCTCTGATCTCTGTCTAATGTTTATCCCAACTTGGATATATAGTTGTACACATTGCTCTTTCCACTCCGGCTACAAATTGTTCTGTGAAAAGGTGTTTTTCCTATATAGAGCGCGTGAAAAATTATCATAGGACAACTGACAAAAATTTAAACAACTAAAATCAAACCAGTAGTTTTTTAACCGACTTCCTAAAAAGGAGGAGGTCATCAATTCGGCTGTATGTTTTTGTTTTTTTTTTGCGTTTGTGGACGGATTTTGATAATTCTTTTTTGTTGGAAAGGTCATACTTTCGGGGTGGTCCAATTTCCACAACGTCAGGATCTAATGATGGGATCCCATAGAAACCGAGGGGAACTTTTCAGAATAGGGTAGACGACTAATTTTTATTTTAATGTCCGTCTGGTAGACAAGTATTTTAAATCATTACACACGTATTTTTTATTTTCTTACGGAAACGAATACTTTCCACGATATATTGATTTGAAATGTCGTGTGACGTCACTTTTATGTACATTTTATTCGTAGAAATGACGTTTTAGCCCCCACTCCTAAACTTTGATTCGTTTTATCTAAGTATTGTTTTATTATACGACAAAATAAAAAAATACGTGTCTAATATTTTTTAAATAGCTAACTTACGGACTAATTAGATTTTTAATCGTCATCCCAATTGTATGGGCGGCGAGAGCGTTTGTAAATTTTTTATAAAGTATTTAAAATTACTACAATTTGATGAAGGTGTGGATTTGTTATGATGATGGAGTCAAGAGACAGTCGAGGGAACTCCTCGAGGATTTGTGGCAATGACCGCGTGTTTGGGCTTAAATTATTTGTACTGAAAAGATCTTTACATCTAGATGGGATGTGATTGTCATTAGGGGTGTGATGATGAAGTAGTATGATAGCTAAGGGAACTCCTCAACGGTTAACAGTAGCTACCTGATGTTTGGGCTTGATTATTTTGTATTAATGAGAACTTTACACCTAAATGGGGTATAATTGTCATTTGGGGCCGGATGATGAAGGAGTATGATAGTTAAGGGAACTCCTCAACGGCTGACAGTAGCGACTTGCTGTTTGGGCTTTAATAATTTGTTATGATGAGAACTTTGCACCCATGTGGGATATACGTAGTTATGATAGGTTATCCACCCAGTGATAGGTTAGATGTCGGTGCCTGTTTTTGTGTTTGTAATTAGTTCGGGATTTTTGCACCAAAACCAAAAATGTTGAATATCTCAGAAACTAGCCACTTTCGGACTAAGGACCTCAGGGCTCATTTTGCAGGAAATTAACTGTATTACCTCCCGAGAGAAATAGCTCAGTCTGTAGATTTTTCTATTAAAGTCCCGTAAAAAAATATAAGTAAGTCTTGTTTCATATTTCATGCAGTATACTATAATTAATGGTAAATTATTATTTTAGAAAGGTAAGTAGATATATGGGGCGGCGGAAAAAAGTGGCCTACACTCATAAACAATATAAATCCGGCACTGGTGTAAGGGAATTATAAATTCACATGATTTCATGACGTATATTAAGTACCTACGTTGTAAAGTACTATACTACCAAACACTACAAATTAAAATTAGACCAAGGTAAAGGTCAAATTACTAAGAAAAGAATGTTGTATGACTGTTTGTATGTATTCCGCTTAGCACATTGACACCGTATCTAATTTGCATACGTGCATAAACAAACTACATTTAAAACGAATTCATTATACATAACAAAATATTTATTCACGTAAGTAGTGCTTTGGTGTTCGTAACATTGTTTTTCTAGACATTAGATCCTTTAAGCCTACAAAATGAAACTATCTAAAGATTAATTTAACTCGTCGAGTACCGTCATTATAGACACAATTATAGAACAATAGGTTGCGGTCACCGGTGACCGCTTGGTGTTTGACAGTTTAATCAGTATATCGGTATTAGTAAAATGGTCAGTGGTACATTTCAATATTTTCGATTTAACTATGGATAATATTTTCCGTATAACCATTTTACAACTGACTGTACTGGTCATATCGTAGAAATATCTCATTAGAAAACTAATTTAAGTAGACCACAAGTAGTTATTTAAAAGAACATTAACAACTATTACCACCTAGTTTTAATATCGAAGATTGCACAATCACATTTCTTCATTACGAAACAACATTAAAAAATGACTTAGAATACAAAACAAAACGTAATTTTCATCTCTTTAAGAATCAGTATCACTCATTCGCTTTCGCTTTCGCTCACTCGGCTTTCCAAGCGTGCTCTGGAGTCGGGATCACTTGAAAACTAAAGTTATTGTGGTAATTTTTCTAGCTTATTGTTGGAAATTGCCGTCATTTACCTCTTCATATTTCTCCAAGCTGCGGCCGACTGGCCGACCGACGGATTTTCTGACGATCTCACTAAGCTTCTCAGAAACCTGCTCGTTTTTATAGTGAGCAATAAAAGGAATCACTTTATTGAATTTGTAAGTACATCTGATAAAGCGGAGGAAGCAAACTGATTTTAACTTCAACATACAATTTGTGAGCACTAGTTGTTCCTAAATAAACATAGGTCCCTAAACAAGGTCTGGACTGAAAACTTGCAAGCGATACTTGTTTTCACAAAATATTTAGGACTGTTGACCTCAACATAAGCTGGAAAAAGAACATACAGAATTCAAACGTATAATACTCGTCTGATCACAGCAAAGCCAAGTTTAGACAGCTCGCGGGGGGCAGCATCAGGTGCGGCCAGATAATACAGTAGATGAGATCATACCAAGAGCAATTGCTGGCTCAATCGCCTCTCAATTAGGTAATTGTAGTTATGAACACGCTACCGTCCTGCCCGCCCCCGGCTGACAACAATATAATGGCCACAGCTCCATTACTCACCTGGTGGAACGAATTAACTGATACATTAACACAAACCACTGAAATTTACGTGGAACTGATGTAAGGATTCTTTTAGAGACAGGTTCATTGAACATGTGCTTTTTTTATATGGGGAAATTTTATTAAGAATGGGGTATTTCATTAGCCATCTATTGGGGAATTATAAAGCTCCTTGTCACCCCAAAATGTGTAATCTATTCACTGGTAGTCTTGAAATCATTGCACTGCACGGTAATCTTATCCAGATATACTTATTTTACAAAACAAAATTTCTAAATGCCAATAACCAATAACCAATCCAAAACCTCTAATAAAATAACCAATCTATGGAAATTATCACCATTGACACTTCCAAACATTTTCATGTTACTTCCGAAATTCACCTCGACATTCAATAATTATTTATGCCAAAATACTTCCTAAGTAAAAACTTTATGGTAAAACTTTACTAAACTATGAGTTATAGCCATTGTGACGTGAAAGTTGGCATGTTCTACAACTTCAGTTGGAAACTTTGACTATTTTATGACAAACGCTTCAAATTCCATGTGTCGGTACCACGTCGGTACACGAATTCATTTCGGTCTAACATCGAAAATAAAACTTTTTTCAGAATTTAAAGACGGTAAATATTTTACGACACGGAAAATCATTTCCTTCGAGTTAGATAAATGTTTTCAGTGTTTATTTTCGGTGTTTATTTTTATTCAAATAATATAAGCTAATAAAAGTATATGAATTATTAAGTTACTTTCCACACAAAGTTACTCTTTCAATCGTATTTTCTCCATCAATATATTCATTTATATCTCTGGCATTCCTAATTTTGTCTAGTTTTTCTTTATCACTAATACCTGTTTTTATTTTGTCTACAGATTCTATTGGGACCTGTGTATGTTACTACTGCTCGTGGCCAACCTCATCATCCTGCCTGTTGCCATCTCCTTCTTCAACGATGACCTCAGCACGCGCTGGATCGCCTTCAATTGTCTTTCCGACACCATATTTCTTATAGATATCGTTGTTAATTTTAGAACAGGTACGGTATCTTTACTAAGTAATCTAATTTCTCTAATATAAAGTAATATAGGCTTCATTTCTAAAACTCTTATTTCATTGTTTCAGGAATAATGCAGCAAGATAATGCAGAACAAGTGATATTAGATCCCAAGTTAATAGCGAAGCACTATTTGAGGACATGGTTCTTCCTTGACCTCATCTCTAGTATACCACTAGATTATATATTTTTGATCTTCAATCAGGTAAACGTACGTTGCAATTTGGCCGTGTTGTTCTTATTACTATAGTTTTAAACTGTCTTTTATGTTGTTGATATTCTGTTTCAGCTTGGGTGTTCATTTGTTTTTAGACAATACGTTATTATTGTTTCCGTTTTGTTTTTGTTTCTCATTGTGAACTTTTACCCAACCGCCACGAGAACCTGTGCGTCATCGTGTATTCAATTTAGTATTTGTATTATCAGGGTCTAAGAGAACATGCAAAGGTTTGATTAAGCACACCACTTTCATTTTATCATCGAACTCTGTTCTATTTTTATTTTTATAATTTAAACACACTCAAATTATCCACCTGCACGTTTATCATCAGTAACCCATATGATTTCTCGATATTGTTCTATTCCCCGCTGTGTAAGCGACCTTACATACGTATCCGATTATGTGATCTGTGATCGTATGGGATACTTAATCCTTTCTAAAACTTTTAAAGATATTTAAGCGCACTTTCCAACTTATTGCACGAGCTAATTCTAAAACGCTTCCACTAAATTGCACTCTATTGTTCCGAAGGTGTTTCTATGCATCTTTATAATTTGGTAATTAGGTATATACAGTTGTATTTCCTATTCTAATCTCTACATTGGTCACATGCACGTCGTCTACTTTCTACCTCCTAATATTTGGTTTCCTATCTTCAAGTTGTTTATGGCATGGTTTCAAAGCTTCCTAATGTAACGATTACTACTTTTGATTACTTTTTTTTCCTATTTATTATTATATTTATAATATGTCTTGAGTTTTATACAGTATATATTATTGATTTGATTTTCTTTTTAACTTATAACAGCTACAACACGACCAAATTGTAATATTTAACAGCCTACACTGACAGATTCTGAGGACCTCTATATAACTTAAATTGCATCGGTACTGAAGCTTAATATGATAGATTAGCCACTGAAGAAACAAGCTATTCTTACATACTATACAGCTTTCACTTATAATAGACAATATTCCCCACTTAAACTCTACTAAAATTGTAAATGTACAAAACATAATTATAACATGTTTATTATGCTTCAGCACTTTTCTTTGGCTGACAATATCTTTCAAATACTGCAATTATGCATGAGTTCGACACTTCGTCTGTATAAAATCAATAGGAATAGCAGCTCAATGCGATGCTCTACCTTCAACTTGAGAGCATCTGTCAGGTATCGTGTGATATTTCAATGATGTGTTTTTGTGTTGACAGGACTTTAGTGAAAGCTTTCAAATTCTTCACGCGGGTCGTGCACTAAGGATACTTCGGTTAGCAAAACTTCTATCTCTGGTGCGGTTGTTGCGGCTCTCCAGGCTCGTCCGATATGTATCACAATGGGAGGAAGTATATGTAAGCCATCATGCTCTTCAAACCCACATACTATGGGTTCCCCTAACTACTTGCCACTAACACTGCTCTAATATACATTACGCTCACATTTACTAACACGACATGACTAAATACGCTACTAAAACCTTTACAATATTGGATTCATTGATGTCGATATCCAAGTCTGAAGTCAATGACAATGAATGAAACTATTGGCTACTGTCGTACGTGATTTGATGAAATTTGATGTGATAATGATGAGTAATAATGTTAACTGTTTTAGCGTAGTGATCCTAATGACGTTAAATGGAGTTTTGTTGTAATCCTGTATTATACCATTGATCCCGCCCCCACTGTATGTGAGCCCCACGTCCCGCTCTGCACTTCTCTACTGCTTCTCTGCAAGCTTCTTTCTGCCTGAGCACGCTCTCACTCGTGACGTCTAATTCTATCTCTTGTTTCTGCGCCCGCGCCGCGACCGACGCCCGCGTACCTCGTGTCCGCCGACCCGAACCGTCCCACACTTGCCAAAATGATATATTATTTGCCGAAATGTTAATATTATGTTGCCGCTTTTCAAAGCCTCTAGTAAAACTGGTGCGCTGAAGCTGACGTTCTGCAAACATGAACTTAATTACAAAAACGTCATATAAGAATATTACCTACCTTCATGAGTAAAGTAACGCGACTAAACAACCGCCAACTAGATCCAAATACCTGCCTGTTCGGTGAAAGTGAGCACGTAGTTTCCGAATGACATGTAGACCTTTAGAGGAAAAAATGTCTCGCATTCCGAGAATCACACTTCGTCACTTCGACTATAAGAAGCTAATGAAACAAATCATTACCAGAAGCTGTTGCATAACATTAGAAAGTTAGAACTGGCAACACAAAGAGTAGGTAGTGGTTACGTCCGACCTGCGTATACTACCGACGGTAACGAAGCGGAGAGTCAGTGAGAAGTGGAGTACGGGGAGGGTGGTGGCGACATCGCAGTGACGGTGTTGTGTGCAGATGAGCCCCGCCCCGCAGCCGCGCGACGAGCCTGGCGACGCGGACGGCGGCTCGCGCGACCTCGCCTCGCAGGTGCAGCATGCCCCGCCGCGCGCTAGCGCATCCGTAGGGGACTAGCCCGCGTCCGCTCGTCTCGGTGTTAGTGCATCCTGTGTGTGCCTGCACGCGCCCCAGCCCCGCCCCGCACACCTCGCGACGACCTTTGCCCGCCGACCCCTCCGCGCTTCGGGCGCGCCTGGCTCTCTTCCTACTATCTCGTGTTTCTCGCTTGTTTTCTAGATCTTGCAGAATCTTCAAAAAAAGCGCACGGAACGGAGGGGACGTCTCAGCTCCGACGTTGCCAACAAAAAGAAGGGTGACACCAAAAGCAATCTAATCTTTAAGGTAACCAGGGTCGGCACGAGCCGGCGCGCATGTGCTCGATCGCCCGCTTAGCATGTTGCCGGCGGCGCCGCCCGGCGTCCTAGTCCGCTGCGTTCGCTTCGCTTTCTCTCTTTCTTTGGCGTTTCTGTTTCCAACCCTCGTCCCGCCGGCGGCCGCGCGGGCTGAGGCGCGCAGCGGTGCGATCGCGCGACCGTGCGGCGGCCGCGGCCGCGCGACCAGCACCACGCCGCCACCACGCATGCTCGCTCGAAGACTCGTCTCACGCGTTCATATTTATTTCTCACTTCTTTACGACTCCATCGGTAGAGAATCATCGCGATGCTTGATCTCGAGCGTCCTTGTCGCGCGCAGTCCGCACGGCTTCCTTTAGAGGCGACGTCACTTCTCTTGCTGATCTCACTAATGTATTTTCTTCTCTTTCCAGTTCCTCAACATGGCATCCGTTTTCATGCGGATATTCAACTTGATCTGCATGATGTTATTGATCGGACACTGGTCCGGTTGTCTACAGTTCCTCGTTCCTATGCTACAAGGATTCCCACCAAACTCTTGGGTTGCAATAAACGAACTACAGGTTAGTATTATTTTAAAATATAATAATACTTGAAATACCCAGTTTTCAGAGATTTGTCCTTCTCACTGATGATATGTCTCACTTATTCCCTTTTTTGACGGCTGCACTTTCCAAAATCTAGGAATTTAAAGAACCTTTAACAATAAGTTTGTCCACGTATTGAAAGCGCTTTATTCTTTCTTTGTAAAACATAGTCAACCGTGTACTCTATTGGAACAGTGCCGCACAAATAACAAAGGTAATTGGATTTGTGCTTTCACAAAGCACCGTCTTGCCATCTAGGGAGAGATCAACCCTTCGACAACATTTCTGACATGTTTCCAACAACTGAAGGACCGAAACGGCTGATAGATTATATTATAGCAACAAAATAGGGAGTTTTGAAAGTTTAAGGAGTCATTTTAACGATGATGAAAGCTAAATCAAAAAATAATAGTCACAAAAGATAAGTCTACAAACAAGCTTCAAGACACAGATTAATTTGAATTCATAAACTAACAATTGACGTCTTCAATTCCAGGAAGCGTTTTGGTTAGAACAGTACTCGTGGGCGCTGTTCAAAGCCATGTCACATATGCTGTGCATCGGTTACGGCCGCTTCCCACCGCAGTCGCTCACAGACATGTGGCTCACCATGCTCTCCATGATCTCCGGAGCCACTTGCTACGCCTTGTTCCTGGGTCACGCCACCAATCTCATCCAGAGTCTTGACTCCTCACGAAGACAGTACCGAGAAAAGGTAACCTTGCATACTTTTCTTGGCATCCGTGTTATTGGTAACCTCCTTCATAGATGTACAGCAAATCATCAGTTTTTGTAATGTTTTCTTAACTCCTTTCCTAAATATCGAAGATAAATTGTTATGAACACCTGCGCAAACACAACTTTAAAGGATATTATTCGGTTGAAGTTTCGGTATTAGAACTTCTGACAATGATATTGTAACCACCATACCCAGTGTCAAAGTATACCATTGCATCAGAATCGTACATGCATGTGTTTGACTAAATATTCTGTGTAATGTCCCCATCTAATAAATCGATCACTAAAGCGTTCATTGCCTGTTTCAGAGATTAGACGTGAGTACAAAGAGAATGTTTGTTTAGTGTTTCACTGGTTGTTATACAGAATCAATCATTTGCACCAATACTCATGTCTCCATCAAAATAACAAAAGTCATCATTTCGTACATTTCACAAATATTAACGGGTGTTCATAACTGTTTACTTCCATGGGTACTAATCATTGGACTCTGTTCGTTAGGGTGTATTTACTGTGTATTGTTGAAGAGTCGGTTGTTTGCAGGTGTGTAGTTTGTACTTCAGTGTAAAGTGAATTGTTGCTAACAGTCAGTGGTGTTCGAAGATGCATGCGATTTTTTGCTACAGGCGTGTGTGGTCAGCAAAGTTCCATTTCGTCATGTTCTACAGCTTGTTGTGTACGTATTCTAGGTGAAACAAGTGGAGGAGTACATGGCGTACCGCAAGCTGCCTCGAGAGATGCGTCAACGAATCACGGAGTATTTCGAGCACCGCTACCAGGGCAAGTTCTTCGACGAGGAGCTGATTCTGGGCGAGCTAAGCGAGAAGCTGCGGGAGGACGTTATCAACTACAACTGCCGATCACTCGTCGCCTCTGTGCCATTCTTTGCCAACGCCGACTCAAACTTCGTGTCCGACGTTGTGACCAAACTACGTTACGAAGTCTTCCAACCTGGTGAGTTACTGTTACTTGTATGGACATTTCTATTTACATTTTCTAACTTCAAAGGGTAAGCAATAAAAATCAGCCCAAAAATTAAACAATATTCTTACGTGCGTAAATTCCTATGAAATACTAAAGTATGTACTTATCTGATTTCAGGTGATATCATCATTAAGGAAGGAACAATCGGGAGCAAAATGTATTTCATACAAGAAGGCATCGTGGACATCGTCATGGCCAACGGTGAAGTGGCCACGAGTTTGTCAGACGGTTCCTACTTTGGTGAAATCTGTCTCCTAACGAACGCTCGTAGAGTGGCCTCCGTCCGCGCCGAGACGTACTGCAATTTATTCTCCCTATCAGTGGACCACTTCAACGCTGTGCTCGACCAGTACCCGCTCATGCGACGGACCATGGAGAGTGTGGCGGCGGAACGACTAAACAAGATAGGGAAGAACCCCAACCTCGTGGCGCACCGGGAGGACGACACGACGTCGGAAGGCAACACCATCAACGCCGTGGTGAACGCGCTGGCGGCCGAGGCTGAGCACGTGAGCCTGTCGGACGACAGCGTGGCGCGGCTGTCGGAGCGCTCGCTGGGGCTGGCGCTGCAGCCGCTGCAGGCGGCGTCGTGTCGCATGGCGGGCGTGGCGCTGCCGGGGCTGGGCGTGGCGGGCGTGGCGCTGCCGCGGCCCAAGTCGGAGCATGACTTCAGCGCCGCCGCGCCGCTGTCGTCCGCGGCCGCCGCCTTCCACAAGTCGGACGCGGGCATCGCGCCCTGACGCCGCACGCTGTGCTAGTGCGACATAGCAATACTAGGCTTAGTGCGAGCGTCCCGCGGCACGCTCGCTAGTTGTAGCGTAGACACGAGTATTATAGCTGCGACTTCGCCGGGCGGACTCCGCGCCGCCCGTTGAATCTCATTTTGTGATCTTATACTTAATTCTCCTGTGTTATAATTTAGGTTAAATTTTATATCATTGACGCTGTGAGGAATCGAAGAATACGTGACGTATTCCGATTGTATAGATATACCTGTTATATATTGAAGAATGATACTATTGAATCTTTATAGAGATACCTTGCCATTAAAAGAGAAAATAATTATATAGACTAGACTGAAATGTAAAGATATCACTATTTTATGCTTTGTTGGCGTATGAAATAGACCTCTATTGTTGATGCGGAATATTCGATCGCGAAGTTAAGTATGAAAGTATATAAACGTTCCTGATTATCACGATTCAGAGATTATTATATTGGAAGCTGTTTATTGTAACGTTGGGTCGTGGGAGGGTACGAGTGGAGCCAGGCGACGCGCGAGGGCGCAGGCCGGGCCTCCGCTGCACAAGCGACGCACAACTGAACAGAGCCTCACGCGCGATTCCAATAGCACACGGTTGCTTTCTTCATTTAATTATAAGTAGTATTTACCGATAATCGGCATAATTAGCGCAAACAATTCTCTCAGTTTCTTAAGTAGAGGTGGATCAGTAGCGCTTCGAATCTTTTGAGAGTCGTTTCTGTATGTAAATATTGTAATATCGAGGATTTGCCTTAGCGCGGGTCGTGTGAGCGGAGTGTTAGCGGGCGTTCGTTCGAGCGGTCCAGTCAATTAATCCGAGCGCTCGCATTGCGCGATGGACGTCTCGGTTCTCGATGCACTACTACACTTCATACCTTGTTTTAATTGTAGGTGAAAATAATTTATTGTCGATAGTGATCATTTCGTAGGAGTAAGTAGGCCGGAGCGTTAACAAATTCGGACGAATTACATTATGTGATAGAGCAGCGGTCGGCTGCGCGAGCCCCGCGGCTGCCGGCTCGGCGACTCGTAGATGGACCAGTAGATAGACAGTTACGTGCATGACACATGATCTCTCATGATAGCCACTTTAGTTACTTCTGGCAATTACAATGGCTTACTGCAAACGCTTATACATTTGAATAACTGTAGCCTAACTTAGGTATTATAATTATAATGAGCAACATATCCTAGCGAGGCTCAGTCCGACTTAGTTTCTGTCGCCGAGCCGACGGCCGCGCCGGCGTCGCAACCTTTGGCACGAATCATCGTTGACTAATTCTTATAGTGTCATGACAATTTGTAAAGATGGTTTTGCAAATGTTGACTTTTTAGCCAAAATATAGGTAATGAATGACGAACCAATACGCAGTAGCTTACTTGTAGATGAACGCAGCCTAGTTCTCAGTTTTGGCGACTAACACCAATACATACTTTGTACTCGTAAGATATTTATACAATACATTGGTCTTAGCAGAGTGACTATCTGTCAATTTATCTACAAAGAGAATATATTATTGCGTTTCATTCCCAGAAGCATTTATTTGTTGTTGTTTTATCTACCTAACATTACCGCTTTTGTAAATTATATAAATTTTATAGAAGAGATCTATTTTTATTGTGAAGTTGATCTACTGGATGTAAGTAAAGAACCTATATAAAATTTATTTCTTTTTAATCTGAACTGTTATTTGTTACATATTTTAATGATTTCTGGTAACTATTGTCACCAAAAGTGCTCATCGCTGTCAAGAAAATTAGAGAAAAAATGCATTAAAGAATGAAGAAATCCGCCCTGTTGTTTGAATCTCTGACTTTATTTTACCCTAAAATATACCTACCAATCACTCCATAACTGATGAGGATCTCGATAATCGAACCTGAAACCTATTGCTCGACGGTTAGGTACACCTGCAACAACCAACTAGTTGTGATGTGACTGAGTGAGTGATGTAACTACATCAACGACATAATATTGAACCCAGTAATGCTTAAGCCAGTTATGTTATGACTCTCAAAGAAATTCCTTGTGAATAAAAATAAAGGTATTCGAGGGAGTAGGTAGCAAACCAAGCCTTTTACATTAGTTATATTACAAAACCTGTTGTAAGAATAAAATCGATTCCAAGGTCACTGAAAATGCTAAAATCGTTTTGCAAATCGTTAATCCTCAAATCGAATGCACCAAAACTTTAAAAGAATTGGGTTTGATAGTCACAACACTGATAGAAACAATTTTTGTGATGTAAAATCGAAAACCGTTAATTGAAACAAGTTAGCGATTTATTTCTATCTTTATATTGTCGAGACTTCTGATGGGAGACTGCCTCGTTGGCCGAGTGGTCGCAAGTCGCAAGACTGCCGGGCAAGGGGTGATGGGTTCGATTTCCGGGTCGGGCAAAGTAGTACTGGGTTTTAAAAAAAATCTCAATGGTAACACGGATTCTGGAATTGTGCCCGGTATATGGCAATAGACTCACCCCTTATTATTTAGGACTCATAACTCATAAATAGTGAAAAGTGGGAGTTATATTGTACAGCGGCATTAAGTGCCGTAGTGTGATATTACTTTTGGTGGAGCCTACCATATTTTTTTTTCACCAGATGCCGCCAGGGAGAACCTCTCGTTCTTCGTCCAATGTACAATACAATATTTGACAACTGCTGTGATTGGACTAAAAATTTGTTCCTGTTCCTACAATGGCGCCATCTGGTATTAAAAAATACCACAGACTTAAAATAGATAAGCAGACCGAACATTAGCTAACTATTTGTGAAGCCAAAAACACACATGCGCAATTCGTAGCTTAAACTTATTTTTTAGATAAAGTACATTATTAATATACCTACGTAGAGATAAGCTTGTTTTTGGAATAAATAGTCAATATTTATAAATACTGAATAAGTAGGTATACCTACATTTTTACTATAATTTTTATGTATGTGTTATATGTGTAACCATCCGGTTATATAATTCCGAAACTAGTTCTTTAGGAACTGTAAAAAATATATTAAAATTATTTAACACCTTAAATAATTTTAATATTTTTTAATAGATACGTTACCTACGTATTAAATAATTTTAATATCCTCATAATACAGATAATGCATAAAAATTGCTTTTTCAAATAAAACACGTTGATGGGAGTATCGTAGTTTTTATTAACATAATGTTGTCATGGTTATGAACATAACATCACGCCTTTTATCCCCGAAGGGGTAGGCAGAGGTGGATTATACCACTGTACAATGTAACACCCACTTTTCACTATTTATGTTATAAGTCCCATGTAGAGGGGTAGATACCCGGGGTGAGCTAATAAAATAAAACAAATTGTTTAATGTACAAAATTTCACAATTTTACATTCACAGAAATGCGGCAACTATATGAACGAGTGTGAATTGCGATCGATACTGACACTGCCCTCCAAACTAAGCCTTAAGCTTGTATTTTGGAAAACAGTGATTCAGGCGAGGAGTATGTCACAAAGTAGCATTATATGTCGCTCAGTAATGAAGTGAATGTCATGGAAGTGAATGAACGAAGTGGATGGAACTGTAATCCTAAACAAAAAAATAAAATTTATAGGGAAAGTTAAAAGGACTACTTAGGTTGATTTTCCGGAATTGTTACGGAGTGTATGATGTGTGTGTGTCGGTTATGATATACACGTAAGTAAACCTTCAGTTTCATTGTAATCCATTTGCTGAAGCCAATCATTGATTTTGCTTGTGACTTCTTTTCGGCTGAGTCGTACGATGTTCTAGTTTTTAATAATTTTGTTGTAGAGCTTGCAACTGAGACTCAATAGTCTCAACAATACTACTTACTTTTGCCAGAGGACAATTCAGTAACTGTCCTCTGGCAAAAGTAGTATCGGGCACAATTCCAGACTCCGTGCTACTTCTGAGAATTTAACCTAGTAATACTTTGCCGGATTCGGGAATCGAACCCGAGACCCCTTGCCCGGCAGTCGCACTTGCGACTACTAAGCCAACGAAGCAGTCGTGGTTAAGAATATCAGGTAATTGTCATCTCCCCTCAAACACACTGACCACTCCCAAAACAAGTTCTTTCCTTGTCCTATCCTGTTAAAATTTGTTGTTCATTCCCATAGATTTATAAATATAACATAGATGTCTGGCTATTGTCTACGGGTAGAATTTAGGATTCATCTTGACGGTAAATTCATAAACATACTGTTGTTTCTTTTTTACTTATGTCTCTTTGCTTTTGCAGAAAGAGACAACACATTATTGTCATTCTGGCCATAATTTTTTGACGTCATCAGAAAAACCTAGTTGTGCCGAATTGGCCATCTTAGTCCCTGTTATCAGTGCATGTCAGTGGTACATCAGCTGTCAAAGCATTGGTCAACAATATTTTGTTACGAAAATTTGTAGAATTCCTGTTGTTTTTGTGCGTGGTAAACAAAGAAATTATTGGTTAGTGAGAAGAACTATGCCCGGGTGCAGTGTTATTGGATGTAGCACTAAAAATATTACTAAACCGGCAGGTGTAACATTACATCGGTAAGTACTGTTATTTTTCATTAAAATATCTCTGTTTTTCAAACTATTCAAGTGTGGTTGCTGCAAATTGACTAAATACAATACTTTTCTAACTAATGCAGTGCTTATTTTCATTAATTTTAGTTGAAATACGTCTAAAACAATTTTCATTAAAAAATAGTGATGTACATGATTGTTCCCGTATCGATAATTTTATCGTACATAATAAATGCGTCAAAAGTAGAACAAAGAACTATACTAAATTCTGAATGATAAAGTGCATTAATTTGACATAATGACAAAATACAAAAAACATTAAGTAGGTACAGTATCTATAGAATCTATAGAAAAATCTATGTTCAATTGGATCAAGTAAGTTAAATTATACTATTTATGTTGCAGCCTCTAGCCAGATATGTGCATGAAAATGAACTTGGAACCAGTTCTGGAGTCTTCTCGAAAGATGGTTTTGCAGATTACATTACAGGGAAACACTACGAAAAATACGAAGATATTGTATATTATAAATCTTGATTTTATGAATACTTTGATACAGTTTTATTTTTCAACCCTCAAAAATTACTTAACCTTAAGTATATAAATATTGACCAGTTGATGGAAAATCCTTTTCATGAATTTCGTTTAGAGTATTTATTAGAATGTGTCGAACTCTGCCGATAATTTTAATAATATTATAAATTTTCTTTTTAGTTTGTGCTTGAACCACGCAGAAGTTCTTGGCTGGAAATAATTAATGTGGGAAATATAGATACTAGAAGGAAACATATCTTTGTTTGTTAACTTTATTTTGAAGATTAATGTTTTAACCGAACAATAAATTAATAGTAAATCTACGTGATGGGGCCCTATCGCTACAAGCTCTATTGGTAAATCATAATGTAAACGATTCATTATGTGTTTTGTTATATTAGTTTTGGAAGCATTTTTTGAAGAGGTGCAAACTTAACATTTTATTTAACATTTATATTAAGTTCATAACTAACCGGGTTCTTGTACCTATATGTTTCTGTTTTCCTCCGCTATCTATCACTATCATTGTAATGTACAAACATTTTCGTTCAGAGCTTAGTACAGTACCTATAGAATCTATAGAAAAATCTATGTTCAATTGGATCAAGTAAGTTAAATTATACTATTTATGTTGCAGCCTCTAGCCAGATATGTGCATGAAAATGAACTTGGAACCAGTTCTGGAGTCTTCTCGAAAGATGGTTTTGCAGATTACATTACAGGGAAACACTACGAAAAATACGAAGATATTGTATATTATAAATCTTGATTTTATGAATACTTTGATACAGTTTTATTTTTCAACCCTCAAAAATTACTTAACCTTAAGTATATAAATATTGACCAGTTGATGGAAAATCCTTTTCATGAATTTCGATACATAAGTATTGTGAAAGTTATGATGTGAATGTATAGGCACGATCGACTGGAGTGACAGTGCACGCAGCAACTACTAAATATATTTCGCTATTATGTTGGTAATGTTTAGCAGCTAGATAAAAATTAAATCCAGATGAATCATAAAATAATGATATTTTATTGATAAGTCAATTAAAACCAATTCTAAAATATCGATATTTCTACAGTTTTAAAAGTTACATCCCTAGTTCTATCCGCCATTACAGGTGACCAAGTGAAGTTTATGTAGGCACGATTTTTTCCTAGTTGTTTCTTATCCATACTCTTATCATATCAGTGTTCATTCCTAAGAATTTCAGGGACATGATGATAATACACAATTGTGATAAAATTGATACATATATCAACTATTGTAAATTATTTTGGGAAGAATATACTTCAAATCCTGGCAATACAGACCTAAACGTCACTGTCAAAATGTTTTTTTTTACGACCTTGCGAATTTGCGACCATCTCTGTTGTTCATTGTTCAATATTTTGATCGTGCGTGCATGGTGCTTGTTATGGCTCATAAATTATATATTTTGTAGTTTTATACAACTATAAACAATTGTTACGTGTAAAATATTGAGAAAAGGACGTTTACTATAGATGTGTGAAGACGGAATACCTGTCGGTATTTATACATTTGTTGAGTGAATACTAATTACCAAAATGTCTACAAGACGAGCAAGAGTCAAAGCTGTTATTTCTTTACCGCCTCGAAGAAAGAATAACGAGGCTGCAAACAAAGCCAACGAACTTGTTAAGGAAGCAGCTGAGAAACCGATTAAAAGCCCTAGAACGCCACGCGGTTCTTTAAAAAGTCAAGATAGCATTGACAGGCAATCGCCGAAGCCTGGATCTCCATTGAGGTCGCCGCGCTCTGGGAATGTTTTGAGACAACAGGAACGAGTGCCATCGCCTCTGGTTCAGGCTGAAGTAACAAAAGAAGCAGCTCTTACGCCAAAGAAGGCGGCAAAAGTATCTGTGATAACGAGTGTAAACAGTGCAAAATCAAGTGTGTTTGTGTCGCCGAAGAGAGTAGCGAGCCCATTTAGGAAGCTTACTCCTTCTCCTCTAGTCCATACCTCAGTCAGTGTACAAAGAGTAACTCCTTTGACTCCTGAGAAAGTTGCTAGAATATATAAACTTGATGGGAGTAAAATTGTGGAGAGTGAAACTAGCAGTAGAAGGAAAAGAGGTAGTAAGGATGCAAGTACCTCTAATGTTGCTTCTGATGTTCCAGATGGTATGTAGTAACTATTTATCTATTTTGTTTATTCTGTGGCAGCAAAGAAGGGAAAATACTGGCTGCTTTTTTAAATGTACCCTGTTTATGTTTATCTACTTTTTAAGTAACTATACATTTACAAGTTTACATAGATTGGATTCTGCCAAAGGATATACTGATTAATGGAGTAGGGGGCATTTCACGTGAAGTGGACAGGAAAAAAAAAGTGAGGTTCTGAAAATCGATAATATTCAGCCCATTTATACTTCTAGTAGATATGAAAGTGAATACAAAATATTTTTTTTGTATTGTGTATATTTCAGAAGTTATGGGTTTCTAAAGAATTGTCGTACTTGTAATATCAATTTTATGTAAGTAGTTTTTCGAACTTAACAAATTTACAATAAAATATTTAACATAGCGATACGTATTGGAAAATAACTATTCTTTATAACAACAAAATCAAATAAAAAAAAATATTTTTTTTTCATGTCGAAAACCAGAAGTAAACTTTTCAAACCCGAATTTCAGTCACTTCGACCAATTTTTTTTTTCTTCTTTTTTTACCAATATATAATTTAAAATATATTAAAAATACACAAGGAAATTCAAAATGGGATCTCAATTATTTTAGGAGATAGATTGATTAATGTACATACGCGTCGCAATGGGCATGATATCTAGCGCTAGCTTAGATCGGTTGGTGTGCGGGAAACAGCATGTCTTGTATAATTGCTGTGGTATAGTTAATTATATCATAATAAAACAACATTGTAACAACGCAAGAACTAGTTTATTTTGCAATTTTTACAACTTTACAGTTGGAATCTACACTAGAACTGGTCCTTTTCACAAGAAGGCCACTGGTTGTAGGAATAAAGCTGTGAAACTTTTTGGTTGTTTACAGTCACCATTCCATGGTGACTGTAAACGCAAACTGTGGTTGCAAATAAATTCTCTGACATTCTATATCGTTTTTAGTATAGAAGTAAATGGCTGTTTGTTTTAAAGATGATTTTTCCCATTCGTATCGGTGTTACAATTGCTTTACTTGAAGGTAACTGTAGACTTGCACGCGCAGGTAAACGTTTGAGATTTCCTCCCAGACCATCGCATGGTCGCGGAGAACCTAACGGGTTACCGGGGCTCCGGCTCGACGTGGAGGAGAAGGAATGGGGTGGTTTTAGTCAGTAAGAGTCTGACACTCCCTGCCGCCTCACCCAGGCGGGAGCAGTCATTCGATGATTAATTTCCCCCCTTAAAAAAAGACCATCGCATGGCCCCTTTCTGTGAGACATTGCGTGAAAATGCAACTCTGCATCTGCATTAAAATCGTCTTTTTAATAAAACAGATTCACAAAGTTGAATCTGTTTTTAAAATGTTGGGAAGCTCCGTCGGTTATATATATATATAATTTTAGATCCAACTATTGATTATTCTAAAAGATGCTTGTGTGTGTCATGTTTTAAGTCATCAGAAATCATAACAATGCTGCCATGCTTTACTTCACTACCGTCTCTGTAATAAAAAACCGACGTTAAAAGCGTTCCCTGTTCGTTATTCCAATGAAAAGATTGAGCAGCATCTTGGACAACAAAATTATAATTTTTTGCAAAATCACTTTGTACGAGAATTTGACCTTCATCAATAGTCTCTTTAAGAGTTTTAAAATAAAGCGCCTGTTCCTCTGCTATGTAAGCGTGAGGTTTCAAAAGTTCCAAAGCGCCACATAACTCATCTACAAAATTATCAGAAGATAAAAGTTGAGTAGATATCGTGAACCGGTCTGTGCCAATCCATTTTTCATACTGCACGTCTGTCACTTGATTGTTATCAAATATGATTTTTATATGTTCTCGAATTGCACTTAAGCCCGGACAAGACTTACAGAATTGATGTTCGTTACTCTTGTACGCAAAAACTACTAATGGATTTCAATTTAACTTCGCAGGATTGTTACCTAAGACATCAGCATAAAATATAGGCTATAATTTATAAAAATTGGACATACCGGGCGGGTGAAAAATAGTATATTATATTAATGTTTCTTCCACACCCTTGTAAGAGCTTAACTACGCTCACACGAGATAAACTATTAATAAAGTTGCGAGTTTTAATACAATATCGCGCAAATTGCTCGACCTATGTAATAGTCAGACATTACGTGCATTGCGACGCGTATGTACATTAATCAATCTATCTCCTAAAATAATTGAGATCCCATTTTGAATTTCCTTGTGTATTTTTAATATATTTTAAATTATATATTGGTAAAAAAAGAAGAAAAAAAAAATTGGTCGAAGTGACTGAAATTCGGGTTTGAAAAGTTTACTTCTGGTTTTCGACATGAAAAAAAAAAATTTTTTTTTATTTGATTTTGTTGTTATAAAGAATAGTTATTTTCCAATACGTATCGCTATGTTAAATATTTTATTGTAAATTTGTTAAGTTCGAAAAACTACTTACATAAAATTGATATTACAAGTACGACAATTCTTTAGAAACCCATAACTTCTGAAATATACACAATACAAAAAAAATATTTTGTATTCACTTTCATATCTACTAGAAGTATAAATGGGCTGAATATTATCGATTTTCAGAACCTCACTTTTTTTTTCCTGTCCACTTCACGTGACATGCCCCGTAGTTCAACAACACTTAAGTTGTTGATGTACCAATATAATTATTTGTTTCACAATATAAAATTATGTTACAAACACCTCTTCTAGAAATAAACTTGATTTCCTTTGGCATTTATTAGTAGCCAGTCTACACAGAATGTAAAAAGTTTCCGAAAATGCATATAATTTCTTTTATTTTTACAATTTAAATTGTTTTAATTTTCGTTTTATCATGCAGCATTAGGCTTCAGCAGTTTATTACAACTAATATTGCATAAAAGAAACATTAATTGATTAATTACCTTTTTTAAGTAAAACTAGGTGTTTACCTGTTTTCATCTTTTGGAAGCATTCTGTTTACACTCTATATAATAAACTAGCAGCCCGTCCCGCCTTTACATGGGGTAGACAATTATTTATTTTTTGAAATTTGGATTGTTGTAGTGACATAACTACAATAGTTGGACATATGCTACCGCAGTGTTTTTTGTAGACATTATGATGTTCTTCAATATTGTTGTACATTATTTTGTTCTATCGCTAATAGTTTCGGCAGCGCATTCGACGAAAGACATTTTAAGACTCATTTTTCTACACCTTCGGTAACATTGTTCAAATTTTACCAAGGATCCTTAATTTTTTTCAAAATGAAATGTAGCCTATGTCAAATTGGAAGAATGTAGCATTCTATTGGTGAAAGAATTTTTTAAATCGGCCCAGTACTTTTTGATGCTATTCATTACAAACATAGAAAAATAGGTACAAATCTTTTCGCTTTATAATATTAGTAATAAATACTTATATTAATTAAAACATTATCTGTAGTTACACAATATTATTTTATACTTTTCAGACTACAATGTCCCAAGCGTACCCGAAAGTATTACCGAAGACACAGTTATGGATGGGATTGTACCTCTCCAATCACTCTCAAGTAGTGGTCCCAAACCCTTGGCCCTCTTGAAAAATGAGATTATATCGGAAAATGTGGAAGTCTCTTTCGACCCTATTGTGCCATTGCCCTCACCGAGCAAAGTACGGCAGAAGCTTCGTCCAGTCCCCAGACTAGCGCCTTTGAGAAGAAATAGTGTGCAGGTATTGTTATTTTTATATTTGATAGGCCAACGTTTGACCACTATCTCGCCTGGTGGTAAGCAATGATGTGGTCTATGGTGGAGCATGTCGTCCCATAAGCAACCTATTCACTCGGGCCTTGGAGTCACCCAGGTCATACAGAATCCCTTCAGGGAATACAGACTTTGGCAAAAAAGAATTCCATTCGTTAGCAGTAAGCACAAGGAAGCTTGATGCGAAGCGCTTAGTGTGTGTGGGTGGGATATGTACCATGAATCGGTGACGCTTCATCGATTGTCTTGTGGTACGATGATAGAAAGGACTAGGGGGAATCAAGTTGTGCAATTCTCCTGCACACTCATCGAAATGTATCCGGTAGAAAACCGAAACGCTTGCAATCTTACGCCTGTGTTTGAAGCCGGGCCTCCACACGCGCATCATCGTTGATGAGCCTCTCGGCACGCCTCTCAATGTGCTCTAATGCGTCCAGCTGATATTTAGCCGAGCCGTCCAAAAGATGAGAGCAATACTCCATGCAGTACAGAGGTCAGAGTTACGCTAAGAAGCTTAAGATGATCAGTTATCGGGACGGATACATTCCGGAAAGTAGGAGTCAACGGAAATTTACTCCGGTTGGCGGAGAATAGACACGCCTGGGTTTTGCTAGGGTTGAACTTGACCAAGTTGGCATCTCCCCAGTCGGAGACCGCCTTCAAGGACGAGCTCAAACGCTCGACCATGGATTCTCTTAGAGACCGGATCTGTGTTTCGCTAGTCCGCGCATCGGACACATACCTTACGATACCGGGCTTATGTCTTTTATGTGCAGCAAAAAGAGCGTCGCTGAAAGTACTCAACCTTGAGGGACGCCGGCATTAATGCCGAATTGGTCAGACAAGCAGCCATCAATCGCTACTCGTACTGACCGATCCCTCAGGAAGTCTGCTATCTATCTGCACAGATCAGCAGGAAGTCTATATGCAGGAAGCTTGCCGATTAGACTGTCGTGCCATAGTCTGTCAAAGGCCTTCGAAATATCGAGGGAGACTGCCAATGACTCCCCGTGCCCCTCGATGGCCTCGCTCCAAATGTGAGTGGCATACGCAAAAAGATCCCCAGTCGATCGGTTACGTCGAAACCCGTGTTGCTGATCGGCGAGGAGATCGTTACCTTAAAGGTATGCTAGGAGTCATTGTTAAGTACACGTACCATTCTCTTGCAGAGTATGGACGTGACCGAAATAGGGCCTAATTGTTGGGGTCGGCAACTATCTATTTTGGGCACAGGTTGTACGTTGGCTAGCTTCCAGGCAACCGGCACTTGACCAGTCTCCAAGGAAAAGCGAAACAGACGTGTTATGATTAGAAACAACTCGCGTACAGGTTTTTAAAACCACGACTGAGAATCCGTCGGGACCACTGGCCTAGTTCACATCGAGATCGCGCAGCGTCCTATATACCTCCTTTTGTTGTATGCTAATTAGCGACATATTCGTCTCGCATACGCTATTAAAAAAAGGAGGCGAGACGCCACCAGTATCAAGACGCGAAGACTTCGCAAACAGAGAAGCAAATAGGTTCGCTTTCTCTACCGCAGTGTGAGCCAGCAGGGCGACAAAAGTTCGATTCAATCGCCTTGGCCAGGGACCAAAATGCTTACCCGCTGGGTAGGAAGGTAGTTTGTTCCCTATACAGCCAATGTGGTTCAATCGAGCCATCCTTAATGCCTTTTTGCATGACTTGGCAACCCGGTAGGCTCTCTTCTTTTGATGAATGTCGCCAGCCCTACGGCGCCGGGCATCCGCCCATATGTATAGTCATTTATTATTTGGACTTGCTACATGTGCTCTTGCACATGCACACATCTTCAAATTTCAAGATCTATGAGTACATAAAGCATTCATGCTTTCTCTTCAGAGATATCAAACAAACTTTCACATTTATTCTATTTGTTGATATTGTCATGTTTAAACAGATGTATGAACCCCTGCAGGACAGCTTACTCCAAACTATTATTTCATTATTTAATTTTCAGCTTTGATATTTTGTGATAAAGTTGAAAATATAGCCATTACACCTATTTGACATGTTGGAATAGTATGTTATGTTCAAGTACAACAATAGAATTAGTAAATAATTTCATTGTAGGCTTTTGTTTATTTAAGAGTCGTGTTCATCAAAGTTTTTGTTTTCCTTAACCTTATGTGTGGTCTACAAGAACTTAGCTTCGATTTGCGAATTGGGCAGTTGGGTTTAGACATGTTTTATTTGTATTTTTCAGGGCAGTGCATCAGAATCGGAAGATGAGAGTCGTCGAGCCTTACTAAGCAGTGGTGGTACGTCCACTCCGGCCCCACCATCACGTCAGCGCGAGCGCAGTGAGACACACACGCCACAGCCAGTGCTACCTACACCCAACAAGTAAATGTTAAACGAAATTCTACTTCTTGTATATCATCAGTTTTAAAGTTTTGTGCTGACAAAATTGAAACCGCATTTAAAATGGTTGTATGTTCACCACCTAAGTAAGCTACTGTGCAATTTGCCACCGATTTGGTGCTACCAAAAAACAATGCATGTTTTTGTTATTTTTTATATCAGTTCGTAAAAGATCTATTATTTTTTTTGTAACCACTTAGGTATTTTTTTATGGCGTAAGCCGGTAAAAGAGCTGACGGATCACCTGATGGTAAGCAATCGGCGTCGCCCATGGACACCTGGAACACCAGAGGCGTTACAAGTGCGTTACCGGTCTTTTGGCGATTAGGAGTTTGAGGATCGTTGGGTATTCAGGAATTGGGGAGATTGGGGAAGGGGAGGGAGCTCAATTAGAGCCTCTGGAAACCACACTCACTCGCAAGTGTTGCTTCAAGTCGGTCTTCTGTGAGGCCGTGGTATCACTCCGTTCGACCCGTAGCATGGTTCTCCCACACTTACTGTCCCAAGTCATAGTATTGGGAAAAATGTATACAAGTTTATAATTTGTTACAGAGAAATAAACCGCATCAGACAAGATTCAATGTGCTCCTCAGTCAGCCAACTAACTACTGCCACACAGCCACCGACCGCCACTTCACCAACCAAAGAGAAACAAGTATCCAAGTTTGTTATCTTTTTTACTACTATTATTTATAAAAAAAGATTATTGAATCATCCAATGCTTTCTCCCGCCCGGGTGAGGCCATAAGGAGTGTCAGACTCCTACTGACTAAAAACCACCCTGTTCCTACTCCTGCACTTCGACCCGGAACTCTTCATAACCCATCAAGTCCTCCGCTGCTCCGTAGCTATGTATGATTAAAATGTCATGGTTACCAGGGAAATTCCTTTAAATAAACAGCTTCATAGTTTAGCGTTCAAATCCACTTATAGGATTCTCTGTATTACTAATTATAGTGAAAAAATTACTATTTCAAAGTATGTCGAGGAACCTCAAGCGTGAATTCTCGAAGTAGGTACATTTTGTAAATGTATTTGACACTTTAGGCTTGCTGGTAAAACTACTAGAATGTCTTATCAATTTGTTAATAAGTGCTACTTGTAGACATACCTAGGCCCTTGGCATATATCATAATACTCCATTAAAGTAATATAATTTGTAATCCATTCTCGAAAACATTGTACTTACCATTTTACGTGATAAAATGAAAAATTACTTATCTTAATCCACCCTATTTTTTTTCTTTATTTTATGGAAAAAAAATTATTAAAAAAGATAATAAAAGTTACTTAAAAGATAGTAAAGTATTTTCTTACTTTTGTTAATAGCATATTAATTATGCATTAACATATTATTGCAGAACCCGTCGCCTGGATATGTCACGTCGCATGGCAGCGATGCGCCGGCGCCGCGAGGCAGTCAAGAAGGACACGCTTACTATGTACGATCTCATCTTCTACAACCCCACCACCAACCCTATTGTGTGAGTATGTTACACTATTATTGTTATTAAAATATCTTGTACTTATTATTATAATTTTAATAGGCTACTACATGCATTTTTGAAATGTATCTAAAATAAATTCTATAGCCTTAATATACCTCTAAAAAATTTTATTTGTCTCGCGTTATGTAAGTACGATATATTCGTACTATATTTTTGTCATTACTATTATTATATAATTAATTATTTTATCATAATTTCAAAATTCGCACGTATAATTCGCGACAGCGCGGCAAACAGCGGACGCCATGATTGTTTTGTAGTCATGACGTCATTACACTTAGTACGATGACAGCTGACACTTTTGTTTACTACCGTAATGACGTCATTAGCATGGCGGCGACATTTCGTAGTGTTGTAAAACATCACGCTACGACCAGTAGGAGCCGAGCGGAGCGAATCAAACCGAGTGAAAGTAGCTAGTTTACTTATTAAGAAAGTAAATGCTCATAGGAATGTAGAGTTATAGTTGATACAATAATTCAGTTAGAACTACAAAAGCCATTACCTACTTCTTTATCGGGTAGGACGTTAAAAGAGCAGACAAGTCACCTGATGGCAACCAATTACCTGATGATTTGCATGGCAACACCAAGCAAGCGTTGTTTCACGCCGAATCTTTGTTAGGCCGTGGTATCACTACGGTTGAGCTGGCTTATTCATATCAAACGATACTTCAAATCCCCAGTCTTCTCTGTTTGAGATTGGGAAACAAAAATAACTTTGTATTAAATTAGTCAAATCCAAATATCGGATATTATTTCACAGGCCAGACGACGATGAAATAGAAGCAAAGAAACTGAATGAGAAAGAGGAAGCGGCTCGCAATGCCAAGCAGGCCGAGGACAAGGAGGACGACGAACCAGAACAGGACGCTGCGCCCGTGCCACAGATTAAACTGGGACCTAATGGAGAGATCATGCTGGATGAACAGAGTCTGGTAAGAGATATACATACAACAACTTCACGCCTGTCTCCTATGGGGGTAGGCAGAGACTTTTGAATGCCAATTACTACGATTCCTACATACCTCTGTCACTTCATCAATCTTTTCATGCATGCACGTTGGTTAAGGGTTAATTTGGCCTTTCTTTAATATATCGCCAATCCAGTCAGTATATGTCCATCTAGAGCGGCTTTTAAAATCTGCAACTGGTCAATCGATATTGTAAAATATGTATTTCTTGTAAATAAATGAATTTGAATTTGAGATCCCATAGAACTGTACTATATGGGTTAGGTACTTAATTATTCTTTATTTGTCACACACTAAGAGTGGTGTTAAGAACTACGATCTCTTACGAATATCAACCTATCAATATTTCAATTTTAACCCCTACAGTCATAGAACAAACATTAGTTTATCCTTCACAAGCGCCCAAAAAGCCGGTAACGCACTTGGTGTTCCGAGTGTCCATTGGCGACGCCGATTGCTACCATCGGGTGACCCGTCCGATCGTTTACCGTCTTACCCCATAAAAAAATATCGGTATTATTTTGTAGGTGTATCTACTAAATGACTAATATTCAATCCACCTCACTGAAACTATTCTTTACTTATTCCAGGTAATAAAACAATCCCAGAAGCGCAAGGTATCCCAGAACGTGGTCCACGAAGGTGCGTGGGCTACGGGCAGTAGTAGCGGGCGCTACCGGCGCACGCCGCGCACCGCGGACTGGAGCGACGCCGAGACTGTACGCTTCTACAGGGCACTCGCCGCCATGGGGACCGACTTTATGCTGATGGAGAGGCTCTTTCCTGGACGAACGAGAAGGGATTTGAAGCTTAAAGTATGTAGTATTAACTTCTAAATCCATAAGATGACAGTGTCTTCTCTCGTCCGCTCTCTTAAAAACCTTTTTTCTGACTTTTAGAGACTACTTTTGTATGAACATAATGTTGTTATTAAAAAGTTTACAGTAATTTGTATAGTCATGAAAGAATGTTTCAGGATAAGAAACAGTACTACACACATCATACAATGACTTTACAATATCACAGTGAGTAAAATTACTGTCATTATGCATCATATGTGATAATAAATTACAGATGAGGGAGGGATTTCAAAAGCGCAAATTTCAATAAATCTATCAACCGAGCCAAATGATGAGGAATCGATCCTCGGGCTAATAGGGAACAGAGTGTAAAGTTCCGTAAGATCGTAAAAGGATCCTCTATTCAGGCGAAATAGTCATGCCCGATGGGCTTCTACCTATCTGATATACATTAGGAAATTGTTTCGATCTTAAATCATGAGCAAACTTCGCTTGCGTGATACAGGATTATATTGACTTTTATTTACAAAGTTAAATATTGTATACAGCGCCATCTACCGTTGAATCTTGGTACCGTGCTATCACCACAATTTGATAACTGTAACATAACATTCACAGTTCAAAAAAGAAGAACGTATGAACATGGCACAAGTGGACAAGGCGCTTCGTACTACAGTGAAATGGGACGCCAGCCGCCTTGAAGACGAGTTCCAAGCAGAACGCAAGGAGGCCGAGATACGTGCCGCCAGAGACAAAGCCGAGCTCAACAAACGTACTAAGGAGAACCAACAACGACGCCGTGAAGCACGCGACCTGAAGATAAAGATGAGTCAGTATCGTTTTTTATTTTTTAATTTCTTTCATATGTAATATGTTATTCTTAAAATATTGATTGGTCAAAAGGCTGGTGTGCAACGTATTGAAGCCTCGATTCACGTACGAAATAACTGTTCTTCGTACCCTCAAATTGATGTTTACATTGTGATTGTTTCCTTAATGCTATGTATCGAACTAATAAGTTATTCCATGCTTAAATCGAAAAGGCAAATCATTATGCAACGTCCGTTGATTAACCCATTGACGAATCATGATTATTTTGTACATAACACTGAAGTTTCAATTCCATTCTTACGTCTTTTGCTTGTTTAATGTTGTCTGTATTTGGTTTGGGCTGGAAGTCTCGAATGTTTATGACAAATCGTTTGCTGAATTAAAAATTCCATTCATAGATATTCAACCTTAATTGAAAAAGTATAGGGTTGACAATCTTTAAAAGAAATTCTCGACTTTACCGAATTTTGCCGTTGCCAATTTCGAGACCTAACCTATTTAAAATAAGGAATATATACAATGTTCTCCTATTGCAACTACAAAACATCCCTTTTCTAATCCTGCTTTCATCCATTCTCCCACCTTACTCGAAATTATTGTCACTAAATATAAATTGAATTACAAAACTTAATATTTGATCAATAATCTTGCATGCAGAAGTTGGTGAATTGGATGAAGGTGAGCTTGCATGATAATTATGAAAGAAGTTTTTATTTGTAGTATATCATTCCCATTAGAAGTTAATATTATTCTTGGAGAGATATGTTAAATAAATACTAGTGTAACCTGTTTACAATCCCAAATAATTATGTGAATGTAACTGTTTTTATTTGTTTTGTCCTTCTATTCACTTTTTGTTTTGCCCACTATTTATGTTCTGATTCTAAGTATCAATTGTCTATTGCTCGTATCGTAAATTTTAAGTTTAATTAATATTTAATTTGTCTCTGATACTAATTCTTCTTAGTTATTTTGAATGTTAAATCCATGTCAATGGTTGGAGTTTGCCTGTCTCTAATCATAGTGATTTGTAAACCATTAAGTATATAATGCATGTTGTGCTCACCTATAATACATTGATGCACTAGTATTTAAATTTTCGTAAATGTAACCCTATATTGTATAAGTGTAATCAGTTGTTGGTGAGTCAAATCAATAAAATAAAATAAAAATGTGCTTCTATATACACATATGTACATTGTGCAAATAAATAATCCTATTGCCGTAAACTCAGAACAATCCAAAACTCCGTATTAAATATATGGAGATGCTGGAAATGTCTCATTATCGAAATACCTATTAATCGCGTTGTACTATTCTTCTACAGGTCACAGTACAAAAGCATTGGAGTCCTCAATATTCCCGGATACATCAGTCACTCTCACGGCAGATCAAGTTATACTCCGCTATCACGAGGCGAAAGAAAAAGCGAAGGAAACCAAAGGTAAGAGGGGGCGACCGAGAATGGACAGCCCTTCAAAGCACGCAATCTCTCAAGAAACTCCACGAGTCAACGTCACACCTTCACAACCACACTTGGATATGGCAACACTTACAAAAATAGACCCTAAGTCTATGGGCAAAACGCCCGACAAGCAACCAACTCCTTCACCGGTAGTGCCTTCAAATATAGAAAATGGATCCCTGGTCGTACTCACGGTCAATGACCCTAAATCTCCTGCTAAGAAAATGTTACAAACGTACATTGCGAGTGGTGGAGGCCGACTGACTCCGGTGGCTTTACCGAATTCGTTACTCAACTCTGTAGTGACCTTTATGAAGAAGGGAGGGACTCCTAAAAGTATGTCAGCGGCTTCCTCTCCTCACTTGACCTCTCCCAGCAGTGTCACAAGTCAGGACAGTCGGCCCTCCTCCACTCCAGGAGTCATTGTGAACGCCAGTCCGGCAAAACGACAACGACATAGTTCATACACTATAACGCAGCTTTAAGATATGTGTACGGTACCTGATGATAGAATTATTATTATTAACGTGGGCACTTGGAATAAGTATCTCGAATCTCATAACAAATAATGAAGAACTGTCTTGAATGTTGCAAGGGCTTCCCCTTGCAAGTACCTTCGTACTTGCAATAGTGCAGTGCAAACTTAATGCAAGGGATATTCTCATTAACGTATTTTTCAGTAAATGTTGCCACTAAAATATGAATTTAAAAAGCATATATATGGTCGAATTGAGAACCTCCTCCTTTTTTTAAGTCGGTTAAAAATGCGACAATCTAAATCTGCCGACAGATAGCTTATTGAGAATGGATCATCTATCATCTTCCAACTTCAATACAAGATAGAAACAACGTCACATAAAAATATGTCCTTTACTGCTCATGTTACGGCCAGTTGCAGTATTCTATGTATCAAGATTCGTGTAAAAATATACTTGTAGTTACCAAATCTTCTAGATAGATATTAATACTGGTCGTTAGTCAATATCATCTGGTACTGTAACTTACAAACCATATTTTAATATTATTATTATTACATACATACCTATATTTTAATGCAAGCGAATTGTTGTAAACGCCAAAAGCAATAAATAATGTCCTAGAAATATTGAAATAAGCTATTATAGTATTTTCCATAGCCTGTACTTATTGCCTTCCGCGCTTAACGCTGATTCGTATCACAAATGTAATTAGAATTAGTATTAAAAAAAAGACAAGAGGTTGAAATTTAAAATACGGGACAAAGAATAAGAATGGCAATGGCTACGATCACTATTATCAGCTTCTTGAACGAATTACTAATCAATCTTTTACAAGAAGGCCTCTTTTCCATTACACGGTTGTTGTAAGCCGTACGGTTGAAAAAACGTGCTAGCTTGTACATGATACGGCAAAATCACCGCGCGAGACATTGGTAAGTACTGGCTAGTAGCGCTTTTTACTCGGGCTGTGTAGGACGTGCTGCGTCATGAATTTTCTTACGAAAAAAAAGATTATAGTTGCTTATTACATATATAGGAAAAAGAAAATAGAAAAAAAAAGGGAAGTAAGGTTTTGGAAACATCCGATTTTAGAAAAAAGGGAGGAATATGGCGCGTTTCATACACTTGTCAAGAATCAATTGAGAGAAGATGAAGACAAGTTTTACAATTATTTTAGAATGCAGAAAACTACATTCGACAACTTGCTCCAAAAATTATCCCAGGAACTAAAACATCAAGATACTTTTATGCGAGAGACTATATCGCCCGCAGCCGCAGAAAGATTGGCTGTAACTCAGGTAAGTAGGTACAAAATTAAATGACATATTTTAGTTTAAAATTATTTATTGCACACAAACAAGATTATTACATGTAATTGAATTTTAATAATTATTAATTTAAGAACAAGTAAATCAAAAAATACACTACGCTGAAAATGCTACTCAAGTGCGGTACTAAAATCGAATTCGTCTTCAATAGAAACTTGAGAATCTGCCGAGATACTTTCCGCATTTACACTATGTACAGATAATTGTGATTCGGGTCGGTAGTGGATTGGCTCTAAACCTGAACCGTGTCCAAAATCATGAGAAGACGTCTGTGGACGACTTATTCCATAGCCCGATCTAGCAGCTGTAGAATATCCATATGTTGACGATTGCGTATTTGAGGATGCTGTACCACTTAAATATCCTTGATGGCCTTGATGCCATTGGTTTCTTGATGTAGGTATACATTTTTTTAACTCAACATTTTTTTTAGGAACATCATTTCATCATAGAACATATATTTTCTTATTTTTTTTGCTGAAGAACCAGACTTACATTCATTAATTTTTTTGTCATATTTTATCCAGCTATCTTTCATATTGGTCCACTTCTTCATCACCATTTGCCCTGAAAAAAAAAAATAATAATTATTAAATTCAAAATTTATAAAAACCCCCGACCTAAACTGAATCGACCCCGACCTAAAATGGGGTTTTAGTATTTGAACCTGAACCGTTTTGTTTTATATTTCAGGTATCTAGCAACAGGAGACCTTTACTGACCTATACTACAGCTATAGAATTGGAATAAAAACCATAAGTTGCATCGTACGTGAAGTATGCCACTACATTTGGTTAGAACTGTATAAAGAATATATGAAAATGCCATCTAAAGAAGACTGGCTACACATTGCAAGCAAATTTCAAGAATCTTCCAACTTCCCGCTGTGCTTAGGAGCGGTCGATGGAAAACACATCAGACTTATTAAGCCAATTGATAGTGACTCGATGTTTTTAAATTACAAACATTTTTTTTCTATAGTTTTGATGGCAGTAGTAGATAGCGATTACAACTTTATATTTGTTGACGTTGGCGCCTACGGAAAGGAGTGTGATTCCAGTGTGTTTAAAGAGACCCCATTTTGGAAAAAATTAACAAACAACGGATTAAATCTACCCGATGCAACACGTTTGCCTGGAATTGACTACGATTTGCCATATGTGTTCGTTGCGGACGAAGCCTTTGCTTTGCATTATCACTTGCTTCGTCCATTTGGTGGTCATCAGCTTGATCAATTAAAACGTACATTTAACTACAGACTCACCAGAGCGCGAAGATTTGTTGAATGTGCGTTTGGCATTTTATCCAATAAATGGCGAATTTTTCACCGGCCAATGAATGTGTCCATCGATTTGGCAGTTCATATTGTGAAAACATGTTGTGTTTTGCAAAATTTTATACATAAGCAGGAAAACTTTCAGTTTCACAATGCGAGTGAAAATGAGTCCACCCTTGATTCAGAATCGGAACTAATCCAGTTACCTATCACGAATGCAGTTCGCGGAAGTTTGGCGGCTAATGAAGTTCGCAACAGATTTGCACAATATTTTGTATCTAACGAAAGTCGCCTCTCCTATCAAAACAACTATGCATAAGTAAAAAGTTAATAATTAAATATCTGTAACTTACCAAACTTGTTTTTCTCATCACCACTTAAATCTTCAAATGTGGGCTGGAAATGAATAAATATTTCTTTCCAGGAATCATATTTAAGCCGCTTATTTTTATAATCGTCGATGGTCTTATCCCATATTACAGGCCTTTCTTGAATCAACGTAATTAATAATTCTTGATTTATGTTCATTTTATAATAAAATCGCGAAACAGCGTATATAAGCGGCCACGAATCCGTGCGTATGTACGTCCGGCACCGTCGACACACCCCGATAGACTGCCATACAACACTGGTGAAAATCACGCCGTGCGTAGACGCGGCGCGCCGAGGGGCAGTCACGGCGCACGCCGCCGCGGCGCCGTGCCTTGGCGCCACCGTGCATGTCGACAAGCTCATATAGTGATCCATACCACACTGACGACCGTGCCTACACGCGGCGAATTAACCGTAGATTTTCACGGCGAGAAACCGTGTAATGGAAAAGAGGCCGAAGTCTTTAAGTTTGTCCCGTCTTTTAAATTCCAGACTTTACCTATATTTACAAAGTTCACCTCTGACGTTGATCAATATATTTTCACAGACTTTTTAACATCAACTATCGTCTATAACTATTATCGATAGAAAATTTTCGATTATCAATAGATTAGATAGACGATATTTTCTATCAAAAGACCGATTTTTAAATTGCTCGCAAGACGTCTAATGTTGTATATTAATCAGAGCCATGAGAAATAGGGTAGCATGAGTTTTATTAAAATAATAATATTAATAATTGAATGTGAATTAGCTATAGTTTTAAAACAAGTCAACAATTTGCTAGGTATAGTTCGTTCTCCTTTTTACGAAACCTAGAGGTACCTAGTTTTATCCCATCGATAGGTAATGAATTAATAAGTAATTGTTTCTTATTTGTATAATATAAGTTGACATTTAAGTTAACAAAAGTGGCTGCGGTTTACCAAGTAGCACTAATATGGAGTGAGACATCACCTATTGTTTTTATTTATTTATTTACACTTTTTGTACAATACAATGGCGGACTTAATGCCTAGTGGCATTCTCTAAGTCAACCTTATCCAATTAGTGTAGCTAACAAAATTGAATGTCCAACGGTTTAATATTAGTTTATTCTCTACTGTACCCAATGCTTCATTAACACCATGTAGTGAGCATAAAATGAAAACCCTCATTAGAAAATTTTGTCGCGTGTTAATTATGTTATTAGTGCGTTGTAAATATCGCCGAGTTCGAATCTGCTATTATTGGTACCAGCTAAGTTTTGTAGAACCTTTATACAAGACAATAGCAACTAGGTTTTTGAAAAACGGAAAACAAATCTCTCTATGTATTTTAAATAAGTTAATTGTATATTTAGAAGTTATAGAATTAAGGGTCTTAATTTATTTTTCCTGTTAAATGTATTGTACGTACTTTTTATTTGGTTGGTACATTCCTCTGATTCCCTTCTTCAAGCTTTTGCATTTGAACTGAAGATGGCACTGCAAATACTTAGTACTTACATTACATATCGACTTGATTTAAATTTTAATGAGTGTGAACCTTAACAATATCGGTAGTTGGTTCCATTTACTTCAACCGGAGTACCCGAACTCCATGCCTTGACATAGGAACTTTCCTAAGCACTCGCATCCCGAAAGCACTCACCCGCTGCCTATTAACGGTCCATTAGCCAGCTCCAAACTCTAAGTTTTAAATATTGTACTTAAAAACAAAACTAAGTGCTATCTTCAGTTCTTTTCTCTATCTTTCTCTCTTTAATAGTAGTGTTAAATAAAAAGTTCAAAATATAAAAGAGATTACTTATACTTTGTATACACTGTAGAGTTGAATTGTAGAAGTAAAATGTAATGTGATACATTTCAATATTTTAATTGAACTTGTTATCCGATCTCAGATGTTTTTATACAAAATATAACACATATTTTGACTGTAATTAATATACACCAATAAAATCAACTAACTAATACTAGTACTAGTGTGACCTACTTGTTAATCCTTATATTGAAATTGTTAAGAGTCTAGTTTAGTATCTAGTTATTTTATTATACCAAATAAAATAATGAGTTCTTCCAAACTTTTGTTTTATTTATTAAAATGTTATTCAAGTCAAGGGCAAAGGGCGGCCTTTTCGCTAAGTAGCCATTCCTATTAATATTACAGTAAAAAATTGAGAGGCGACAAATGAAACGTTATTTAATAAAAATACAGCTTCAGTTTCATGACAATTAAGCGGTGGGTAGGAAGTTTTTTTTTGTGGGGTGGAAATCATCCAATGACTTCTCTCGCCTAGGTGAGACGAGGAGTGTCAGACTCTTACTGACTAAAAACTACCCCATTCCTTTACTCCTATACTTCGAGCCGGAGCCCGGGAACCCGTTAAGCCCTCCGCAGCACCGTATCGGTGTCAGCCCTATTGGGCCCCATCTGTGGTAGTCTGATGTCTCCTTGAGGCGCGCACACGGAACGCGGCGCGCCGTACGGTCGGGTCTGGTTCTGATCGGGCGGCGTGTCACCGATGCTTGCCGTTCGCAGGCCCGTGCTTACGGTGGCCGGAGGTCGTCTCACGATCCCCGACGCCCAGAGTCTCGCGTCGGCTGGGGCGTGAGGAGATTCGTTCCCTTACACGCCCCGCCTCTTAGCTAGCATGACTGCTTCGCAGAAGGAGACGGCATCCCAATCCTCCTCGCTCCGTACCATAGTTTGAACTAGAGCCGGACGCGAGAGGTCGCCGTCGCCTATCACATCCCTGAGGACACGGCGGTGCTCAGCCTACGCAGAGCACACCGCCACCGTATACTCCACCGTGTCCTCCGGGAGGCCCTCGCAGTGAATGGGTAGGAAGTTAGGAACATGGTAGGAAGGAAGTATTTTTGAACCGCGGTTAATTTTTCTACTCATTATTGTTTTCCATACTCTCACACAATAAGAGGTGTATTTAAACTGTCAAACACCAAGCGGTCACCGGTGACCGCAACCTATTGTTCTATAATTGTGTCTATAATGACGGTACACAGTTAAAAATGTCATCCGATTGAATTCATTAATTTCTACCCACTTTTAATGTTTATTTATATCAGACGTAGGTTTACCAAAGTCCAAAGTTACGTAAAACTCTTAGTCAGTTTATGAAAGTAGCAACCCCGAAATTTTGGTGGCCTATAAATTGGCGAAGAATGATTTCGTCATTGTATAGTTTGATTAACAGGCGTGTAAAGTATGGGACAAATATTATTGAACGGTATTTGTAATTATTATTGGCAAGTGAATTAGTGTAATTAGTATTGGCACTTTTTTAAGAACTTCTTACTTTCTTTTGAGTTTAGTTTTATAAATGTGTGTCATATTTTACTTGGTAATAAAATAATACAACGAAAATAAATGTAAAAGTATTTATTTACACAATATCCAAGTCACTTAAAGTAATGTTATAACTAATGCGCTTCTACCACCTCGTTGGGTAGCCATTGGGACTCTTCCAGGCTGTCCCACAGCGATAACTCAGGATCCAAAAACTCTTGGTTTAGTAGATCAACGTCGATAACTTTCTTGTGCTCTGGAAACATAAATAGAAATATTAAAGAAGTCCATGTATGAAGAAAAAAAAGTTGTTTCGTGTTCCATTGTATCTGTCTATCCTAATTAGAGATAAGATAGGTGTGATATAATTATTATGTATGATTGTATAAGCTAATGAAATTGCATTTTTTTCGTTAATGTTGTTGTTTCAATAAAGCATGAGGTTGGTATGAAAACAAACGTAATCTTATCCTCATTGACAATGACATGTAATTTAGTTATCAGATGAATCGGAAGAGATTGATAAGTTATTTTATGAATAAAATGCTAAATCACGTTGGTATTTGTATGTATGTTACATGGTATAAACAACAGCTATTATTCGTATAAGAAAATGGAAGATTTTACCTTTAAAAAGCACATTGCACAATATTATGCAATGTTAATTTACGTAAGCAAGTCAGATTAGACGAAATGCTATTAAATACTGGTATTCAATGTTTAAGAAAAGTATCTTATATAATGATTATTATAATCAGACACAAACCTGCCATCTTGTTTTATATCCAAAGGAGCAGCAGTCAGATCTATGGTGACACAACAAACATATTTATTACCAATCAATAGTCGTACAGTTACTTACCAACAAGAGCCAGTTCATCAGTCTGGGCCTTCACAGCGGTGACCTGCGAGGGGTCGACTACAGGGACGGTCTGCGGAGGCGCCGCGCTCTGGTCGCCCTGCCCGTAGTAGCCAGACCACGCAGAGTAGTTCTGCCAGTATGCAGACGGATCATAGTATTGATTGTACTCCTATAAAGTGAAATTGCTTTATTATGTTCTATGTCCTGACAGTGTATCCGTCAAGCCATAATCCAGAGTCCGCTTCTCTATAATTCATGTAGATGCAAGCTCGTCTTCAAGCAGTTCTTGATGGTTCGTGTTTAGCTATAAGCGGCTGGCCTACAGATACTGTCAGTGTCGAAAATTTAAATTATTGGCATCATTTGTTCATGCAACATGCAATACTTTAAGTAAAGACTACCAAAGTCTTAGCTCTTAAAAAAATCAGTATTACGTATTTAATTTGCTACTGTCATGTGTGCCAATAATTTCAATTTTTATAAAACTGAATAACAATATCCTTGTTCATTCCAAGCAACCATGAATGATGCTGGGAAGCAAGCTTTACACTGAAATTAAACACATTTCAAGCTAAATTCGCACAAATTAGCATTCACGTTAGCTCTAGGGGTGTATTATGATATGCAGAACTAAGCTATTTGTACATGCTCTATCTACAATTCCTTGACTCTATTTATTTATTTATTTATTTCAATTAAATAGTATAACAATACAGTCATAAAACCAAGGCGTATCTATCTATGTTCCACATCATTAATGATAAATTGGATATGAACATAATGCAAAACTTAGGAGCGACTAGTGTAATGTGGTGTTTAAAACCAAGATATATTAACAAGTTTTAATTACAAAAAAGAAACAACATCTTATCAATCACACTAAATTCTAAATGTGAATATTTCTTTGTTTGGATGTTTGTTCGTCAATCATGCTGAAACTATTGAACGGATTTTGATGAAATTTGGTATACAGGAAGAGTATGGGCTGACTAAGATGATAGGAATTTTTATCCCAATTAAATGCTCCCATGGGATTAAACAGGAATCATATTCTACGCGAAACAAGTCACAGGCAACAGCTAGTAATCAATAAGTGTCACTGATGGTGCTACATCTCTATTAGGCACCAAATATGTTAAATTGTATACCATAATACACCCTACAATATCATTAAAAAACATACCGCTCCGTTATTAAATGTAGAATTAGGTGTAGTTGGTGCCGAAGGATTCTGAGGAGTGGTAGTACACTTAGGTTTGGGTACTGCGGTACAAATCTTCAAAGGTTTTGAACCAAGGCCTGTGTAACCATTCATAGCGTACAAAGCATTCCTCTGTTCCTCTTCATTTCCAAACCTCACGAAACCATAGCCTTTTGTATATCCTGAGCTGTCCAAGATTACTGAAATAATAAGCAAATAGTGTTAGCTGTTCATGTGGCCTTTTTAAACTGTGAAAATCTCTATGGTTTCTGACTGGTGATTCAGAAATGTCAATAAAAGTTATAAACCTGATATGAAACTACTCTTTGTACTCAATTTTACTGTAATTATAAGTAAACAAACATTTACAAAATTTATCAAGACCATATCAACTTGTCTAATCTTACCTTTTGCTGTTTTGATAGAAGAATACTTTGATGCGAAAATTCTGTATAGTGAGTAATCATCGACATCAGGGCTGAGATCTCCGACCCATACAGAGAACTCCCTCTCTTGTTGCATGTTAGCACGAGCTTCCCTTGATGCAGTGTTCAGACGGAACCGCACCACTGGGAATGTTCCCGGAATCGGTTTGCCATTTAATTTATGCATGGCATCTATTGCCTCTTCATCTGTCTGTAAAGTGCATAATACTGTTTAGGATGGTTATTACTAGAGACCGGATAATATGCATTTGCATATTTGCATATGCATTTGCATATTTAAGCGATTTTCAAGGCTAATAGCATATTTTTATTTACTAATATCTAGTGATGATGCATATTATTGCTATAATTTACAGTAGGTAGGTATTTTTCGAGCGTAGCGCACTCGGCAGCCGTGCGTATTTTGTTTTGGTAGGTACTCAAAAAATGAAAGAGATAAATGATCGCGCCGCCGCGCGCTCGCCTACCGCGCTACTCCCACCTATTATCCTCCCGCTATATTAACTCCACGTTGCCATGCACGTTGCCGCATAAACTTAAAGAAAAGTTTGAAAACATTTTGAACAATAATCCAGGCTTTGAACATCTGTGTCAAATTGATAGCTTTATTAATGGACCGACGGAAGTTTTGCCAGAAAATATAAGCGCTAACATAGCACCCAAGTTCAAATTCTGCCCAGTTAAGTACCTCAGTAGATGTGGAGCGATAATTTTCGACCTATAAAAATATTTTGAATGATCGAAGACATAATCTTACCACTGAACATTTGGAACAATACTTGATTGTTAATGTTTACAAAAATATTAAATAATGTCTACTGTATCGATTAACATCTATCAATGGATAGTTTTCTATAATAGTATGCTGATTTTTTAATAAAAAATATAAAACTTAATAGTTTTTTATTTTATCAAATAACAATAAATTAAAAAGATAAATACATAATAAAGTAAAACATAAATAAGACAAGTATTTACTAAAAATAATATTTACAAAACAAAAAAAAAACTCATTTAATGTTGCATATTCTGTCAGTTTTCGTGCATATTTTAGGCATTTTTCATGCATATTTCAAGCTTTTTATGTTGCATATTATCCGGTCTCTAGTTATTACAATACACATTATGTCAAACATAGGACATTTTTAAGCAAAACTTCCTATCACCATGAAATCAAAACCAATATTACAAATAAAATGTTGTATAGAATTCCAATAATATAACAATATTATGAGCTTTTAAAACATTTTTTAAATTTT